AGCATCGCTAAGGGTCTGTCGATTTTGTTTATTTTTTCAAAGAACCAACTTTTAGTTTTGTCAATTTTTTCAATTGTTTCTTTTGTTTCGATTTCATTAATTTCAGCTCTGATTTTAATTATTTCTTGCCTTCTACTTCTTTTGCTGTTGTTTTGCTCTTCTTTTTCAAGGATTTTGAGATGAAGTATGAGATCATTTATTTGTTGGTTTTTTCTTTTTTTAAGGAATGAACTCCAAGCAATGAATTTTCCTCTTAGAACTGCTTTCAATGTGTCCCATAGATTCCGATATGTTGTGTCTGTGTTTTCATTTATCTCTAAGAATTTTTTAATTTCCTCCTTGATGTCTTCTATAACCCATTGATCATTCAGTAACCTATTGTTCATTCTCCAATTGATGTATGCTTTTTCCTTCCTTCTTTTATCGTTGATTTTCAGTTTCATTCCATTATGATCAGATAAGATGCATGGTAATATCTCTACTCCTTTATATTGTCTAAGAGTTGCCCTGTGACATAATATATGATCTATTTTTGAGAAGGATCCATGTGCTGCTGAGAAAAAAGTGTAACTGCTTGATGTTGGGTGGTATACTCTATATATGTCAATTAGGTCTAGGTTATTAATAGTGTTATTGAGTTCTATAGTTTCCTTATTCAACTTTTGTTTGGAAGATCTGTCCAGTGGCGAGAGAGGTGTGTTGAAGTCTCCCATGATTATGGTGTGGTGGTCTATTAGACTCTTGAACTTGAGAAGAGTTTGTTTGACGAACATAGCTGCACCATTGTTTGGGGCATAAATATTTATGATTGTTATGTCTTGTTGGTGTATGGTTCCCTTAAGCAGTATGTAGTGTCCCTCTTTATCTCTTTTGATTAACTTTGGCTTGAAATCTATTTTATTTGATATGAGTATGGACACGCCTGCTTGTTTCCGAAGTCCATATGAGTGATATGATTTTTCCCAACCTTTCACCTTCAGCCTATGTATGTCTTTTCCTATCAAATGCGTCTCCTGTAGGCAGCATATTGTTGGGTCTTGTTTTGTGATCCATTCTACTAGCCTGTGTCTCTTAATTGGTGAGTTTAAGCCATTAACATTTAGGGTTATTATTGAGATATGGGTTGTTCTTCCAGCCATATTTGTTTATTTCTGTTACTAAACATTGTTTGTTTTCCTCTTTGATTGTTTCCCCCCCCCCTTTACTGTCCTACCTCCCACTGTTGGTTTTCATTGTTATTTTCCATTTCCTCTTCCTGTAATACTTTGGCTAGGATGTTTTGAAGAGATGGTTTTCTAGCTGCGAATTCTTTAAACTTTTGTTTATCGTGGAAGGTTTTAATTTCATTCTCCATCCTGAAGCTTAATTTCGCTGGATACACAATTCTTGGTTGGAACCCATTATCTTTCAGTGTTTGAAATATGTTATTCCAGGATCTTCTAGCTTTCAGAGTCTGTGTTGAAAGATCAGCTGTTATCCTGATTGGCTTGCCCCTAAATGTAATCTGCTTCCTTTCTCTTGTAGCTTTTAAAATTCTCTCCTTATTCTGTATGTTGGGCATCTTCATTATAATGTGTCTAGGTGTGGATCTCTTATGATTTTGCACATTCGGCGTCCTGTAGGCTTCTAGGATTTGGGATTCTGTCTCATTCTTCAAGTCTGGGAAGTTTTCTTGTATTATTTCATTGAATAGACTGCTCATTCCTTTGGTTTGGAGCTCTGTACCTTCCTGTATCCCAATGACTCTTAAGTTTGGTCTCTTAATGTTATCCCATATTTCTTGGATGTTCTGCTCATGGTTTCTTAACAGTCTTGCTGAGCTGTCTATGTTCTTTTCCAGTTGAAATACTTTGTCTTCATTGTCTGATGTTCTATCTTCTAAGTGTTCTACTCTGTTGGTAGTATTCTCCATTGAGTTTTTAAGTTGGTTTATTGCTTCCTGCATTTCTAGGATTTCTGATTGCTTGTTTTTTATAACCTCTATCTCCCTGTATAGTTGATCCTTTGCTTCCTGGATTTGTTTGCGTAATTCGTTGTCGAAGTGATCTTTCATTGTCTGATTTTGCTGTTTAATGTCTTCCTTGATACTCCAGATCATCTGAAGCATGTATATCCTGAATTCTTTATCTGACATTCCATCTGCTGCAGCTGTTACCTCTTCTAAAGTTGCGTTGACCTGCATTGCTTGTGGTCCTTTCTTTCCTTGTCTTTTCATACTGCTTGCGTATCTTTCCTGCAGGTGCGGGCGGCGGCTCTGCTCTCTCCTTATTCCAATTGGGGTGTCGTGGCTACCACGCCGGCAGGTCACTGGGCCTGTTCTGGGAGCTGGTGGCGGCTCTGTTCTGCCCCTACTCCAATTGGGGTGACGTGTCTGTCGTACCAGCAGGCCACTGGGCCTGTCCTGCTGGTCGGTCGCAGATCTGCCCACCTTTCGGGCACGAGTGGAGGCTCTGCTTTGCCCCTACTCCAATTGGGGTGTCGTGACTACCCCGCCTGCAGGATGCTGGGTCTGTTCCTGGCAAGGGAGGCGACTCTGCTCTGTCACTACTCCAATTAGGGTGGTATTTGTACCCCGCCGGCAGGCTCCTGGGCCTGATCCGCAGGTCTGTTGTAGGTCTGCCTACCTTGAAGGCGCGGGCGGCGGATCTGCCCTGCCCCTCCTACCACGCCTGCGGACCCCTGGGCCTGATCTGCAGGTTGATCACTGGTCTGCTCACCCTGCGGGCACGGGTGGCGGTTCCGCTCCACCCCCACTCCAATTGGGGTCACGTGACCACCACACCGGCAGGGCCTGATCCGGGCGTGGGATAAGGATCTGCTCTGCCCCTACTCGAGTTGGGGTGACGTGTGTACCACACTGGCAGGCCACTGGGCCTGACCCGCCAGGCTGTCACAGGTCTGTTTACCTTGCAAGCGCGAAGGGCGGCTCTGCCCTGCCCCTCCTACCACGCCCATGTACTACTGGGTCGTGGGTCTGCCCACCTGGCGGGTTTGGGTGGCGGCTCCGCTCCGCCCCCTCTCCAATTGGGGTCACGCGGTCACCACGCTGGCGAGCCGCTGGGCCTGCTCCGGGGGCTGGCGGCGGCCCGGCTCCTTCCCTCTGGCTCGAGGACAAATTGAGGAGACTCGGGTGACTGAGCCTCACCCCCCTTACCAGGAGACCAACTGCTTATGTCACCGCTGGTATTGATGAAGATCTCTCCTCCACCGCTTTCTGCTGACATCAGATCTCTGCCATGTTGGTATCCTATGCGAATGGCAGCATTTCGTTCCCCTTGCCAGGCAACCCAAGCAATGGGTGAGTCCTGACCTGCCCTCAGCAGGACCCGGACCGAGACACAGTTTCCGCGGGCTCCCAGCCCCGGTCCAGGGAAGTTCCGGGAGCCGGAACTCGGCCGCTCCGTGCTCGGTGTAAGCTCCTATAAGTGTAGGCTCCAAGAAGCAGCCCCCGCGGGCTCAGTTCCGGGAGCCGGAATTCGGCCGCCTAGTGTTTGGTGTATGCTCTGATAGTAGCAGGGTCCAAGAAGCAGCCTCCGCGGGCTCCGCAGCCCTGAGCCAGGGCGGTTCCGGGACGGTTCCGGGAGCCGGAACTCGGCCGCTCTGTGCTCGGTGTAAGCTCCTACAAGTGTAAGCTCCAAGAAGCAGTCCCCGCGGGCTCAGTTCCGGGAGCCGGAACTCGGCCTCTTGGTGTTTCGTGTTTGCTCTGATATTAGCAGGGTCCAAGAAGCAGCCTCCGCAGGCTCCGCAGCCCGGAGCCAGGGCGGTTCCGGGACGGCTCCGGGAGCCGGGACTCGGCCGCCCCGCGCTCTGTGTTCACTCCGATAAGATCAGATTTTAAGAAGCCCCCAGGCGCTGAACCCTAGCAATCTGTCTGCAAGCCGCAGGCGAATTGCAGCCTGAAATTACCTGTTCTATGGCTGAATGAGCTGCGGTCAGTCAAAAACAGGTGTGGTGACGTCAGTTTACCAACATGGTGGCTGCTGGCCTCCTCTGTGGTCTGACCGGTGTGGAGAACCGAGATGGACCGCTTCCTTCCCCGTCTCGAACCCAGAATTCAGCCCTGAGTGCGGTGCTTGCGCGTCTGGCAGAAACTGCAGCGCTGTAACCCTGCGTCTCTATCCCAGCGCGCCTTGCAGACTCCAGCCGCGGGGCGATTCGCTGAATAAGCAGTTTTACCCTCCGTGCGACAAACCTCTCGCGTTTGAGTCCCCGTAGCCGATCCTCATGCGATGGAAATCCTTCCTCCAGGTTCCGGCGCACCCCACTATTGCTGGAAATTCCCAACAAGATATCCTTCAGCCGTCCTGACTTGTCACACTCCCACACAGTGAAGCAGCACACGGGGGTAATGCACTCCCCTCGCCGCCATCTTTAAAACACTCTTTTGTAGAAATGTCTCTGATATGCCATCTTTTCTAAATGTGTACATACACACATACATACACAGATACATATGTGTATAGCTAGAGACCAGCTCTTCCTGAGGAGAAGGTATAATGTTTGAGGAGGTATTAATGTTTGGAGCAGTACTAACACAAGTAAAAATAAAATTTATTTCATGTCTAAAGAACAGATGTGATATTTTAGTGTACTTCTGTGAAAATTTCAAGAAAGTCTGGGCCTTTCTTTTCATCATAAGTAAATTTATACTAGGTGTTAATCATAAACAGGATTCTGCCTTAATAGACAGTTATCCTCTGAGTGTGTATTTTCCATGCATTTAAATTTTGCTTCCTCATCATATTTATTCTGTTTATGATGAAGTTCTTAGGTTAATATTAGTAATGTAACTTAATAGTGCCTTTAACTAAAAATTTCTTTCATTACAGATTAATTGAAAGGGTTCTTTAACATAAAATTTATGAGTAATCTGTAAATATTGGGGCATGCACATTTTTATTCCTTACTATTATTTTCTCAATTTACATCATTCCTATCTCAACTTGTAATATGAATTCAAAATTGAGTTTTTTTACTTGGTCTTTTAATCTTACAAATATTATAAACAAGTGTGTCAAGCTTTTTATTATGAAATAGTCTCTAAGATCTATTTATGTGTCTTAGGATATTGGTGCTGGAAAAGGCAAATACTATGCTGTCAATTTTCCAATGAGAGATGGTATAGATGATGAATCATATGGGCAGATATTTAAGCCTGTAAGTATTAATTATTTTCAAAATTGAAATGGAATTTTAAGTATTATTAGAGATGTGTTAATATTTGTTTATTCTGTATATAGATTATCTCAAAAGTGATGGAGATGTATCAGCCAAGTGCTGTGGTATTACAGTGTGGTGCAGACTCATTGTCTGGTGATAGGCTTGGTTGCTTCAATCTAACAGTCAAAGGTAAGAAATTTAGATAAGTGTATTCCCCTCAAAAAATTTCTCCTTCCCAAGAATTTCACCATAGAAGTTCCCATTTTACTTTTCACCTGACATTTTAACACCAAAATGGGTGCTTCTTATCTGGGGTGTGTATATGACTTCAATTAACCTTGTTTCAATTAAGTGTTTTTTATTTTATCATTTATGCATGAATAGTTTCATAAGGCTTGCTGCCATTCCAACTGAAGCAGTTATTTCCAGTGTTTTTGATGATTATATTTTGGTTTCACCTTCTTCCAGATAACTTAATTAGATTTTTAATTTTAGCCTTTTATATTGATTTACCATTATGAAAAAAGAGGATTTAACTCTCTTCACTTCTTTGTTCCCATCATACATGAATTCTTCCCTTATCTCCCTTTTACATACTAGAATATTGGTTGTGATAATCAATAGTTACAGCAGCAACATCTTTTCGCCATATCTGATTTTTATTTCCTTCATAGCTCAGTTTTGCTAAGGTTTTTTTAGTTGTCTCTTTACTCATTATTAGGCAACCAATGTCTAAATATCTTCATATGTTCAGATGCGTCAAGTATTCTATCACTTTTACCTTCCTATTTGGACTGAGTATCCTATACAGATCCTGATTGCTTTGTCTTCTGGCTTCCTGAGAAAAGGTGTGTGGGAAAGGAGGAATGTTACACCAATTAAATTTTGATCAAATGTTGAAATCAACATGATTAAATCTAGGCCAGACCAAAATAACCATTATGGAATGAATGTCTAGTGTCCATTTAATAGACTCTTAAAATGTATGTGACTCAAATGATTTGTCATGCAGATCATATGAGATTTTGGAGTTTTCTCTCCCATGGGAATGTTTAAGGTAGCAAGTTGATATTCTGCTTTGAATTCTGTCATAAGTGGTGAAGAGTTCTCAAATAGAACTTTTCCAGAATGATTGCTGGCCTAAATTTTACTGAATCATCAAATATAGACATTAAAAACTACTTTACCTGATGTTATGCTTGCTACTGTACTTGGTAGGTCAACAATGGTTTAATAACAGCAATTTCATATTGTTGAATTTAAAGTGTTAATAACCATCTGTTGCCTCAAAATGGATATGTGCTTCCTAAAGTGAACGATATGTTTTTTTGGTACTGTGGACCAAATAACTTAGGGCCTTACACATGCCAGAGAAGCACTGACCTATGCCTTCAGACCCTTTAACATACATACTTTTAAAATTTGGATTGACTTTCAGAAAGTCTTTAAAATAATGCTTTGATAATAAAGCATAGCATGTTACTCTTAAAATAATAAATGTACATTGTATTTCAACTGATAGCATTTTCATTTGTATAAAGCTTATAAGAATATTTGCAATTGCAGGTTTTAAATATGATTGTAAATTTCTCTACTGCCAGAATCTATTTGGATTTCTCAGGTCTCCTAAAGTTGTTTCCTCTTGTTCATCTCCCTTCTGCCTTCATTTATACTCTTGGTGTTGTGTTCTCTCCCATTTATTTTCAAAAATTTTAGCCTTTTAAAAATCCCTTTGCAGTCATTTTTGTCTGGTTTTGGGATGAAGGAAAGTAAATGTTTTATTTATTTTCTCTTTAAAAATATCCAGATATCCAAATATCCAGATTATAAGAAGCCTTTGTTTTTGTTGTAGTAGCAATTAAGATTGGCTTGTGAATCATGTAATACATCTACTAAAGAATGCTTAATAAAAATAGTCGTTTTACAATTACCTGAAGAGAACAGCAACTAAACTTTATAAATAAATGTCTTTGGATGATGAGGTTGTAGGTAGTTAGTATTTTTCTTTGTACCTTATTTTCCCAAATATTCTTCAAAATGCATGGATTTCTTTTATAATTGAGGAACTCTTTTCCTTACTTTATGATTATGTGCCTAAAGAAGTTACTTTTAACTTGTAAATTATTGAACCATGCATGATATTTGTTCACAGGAAATATTTAGCTTTTATGTTAGGTTTATAATCTCATTATTTAAGAAAATTATGCAAATTTCCACTATCTAAATAAAACTTTGATTAAACTTTGTGTTATAACCTTCCAAATATTCTATACATATATGCAGGGGAAAGTGGAAACAAAAGTCAGTTCAAGCCTGGGGTGGTGGCACACACATGTCTGTAATCCCAGTGGCTTAGGAGGCTGAGGCAGGAGAGTCACAAGTGCAAAGTCAGCCTCAGCAAAGGCAAGGCACCAAGCAAACTCATTTGAGACCCTGTCTCTAAATGAAATACAAAATAGGGCTGGGGATGTGGCTTGGTGGCCGAGTGCCCCTGAGTTCAGTCCCTGGTACCCAAAACAAAAAGTCAATTTGGATTGTATATAATGTTTTATTATAGCCTGATTTCCCCCTCCCCCATATAACCACAAGTGAACATTTGTGTTTTAAAAATCTTATCTCCTCCCCCCACCCCCTATACTAGGGATGAAACCCAGGAGTATGCTACCTCTGAGTTATATACCCAGCCCTTTTTATTTTAAACAGGATCTGATTGAGTTGCCCAAGCTGGCCTTGAACTTGTAGTCCTCCTGCCTTAGCTTCCCAAGTCACTTGGCCGTACAGACATGTGCCAGACTGCCCAGTACATATTTGACTTTTCTATCACAGACATTTACTAAAGATACTCTCATTTATTATTATGTGTAAGGAAAGTGATTAGCAAGGAGTTTTAGACTAGAAATTTCTCAAATTTTTATTCTTTAAAGTATTTAAATTCAACTCACTTTGGTTAAGCAAAATTTTGTTTGCATTTACTACTGTTGTAAGGTTCATTTTTCAAACTGTTAGAGTAGGTGGATTTTGTTATTACCCAAATCTTTTTTGTCTTAGGTCATGCTAAATGTGTAGAAGTTGTAAAAACTTTTAACTTACCATTACTGATGCTTGGGGGAGGAGGATACACAATCCGCAACGTTGCCCGATGCTGGACATATGAGACCGCAGTTGCCCTTGATTGTGAGATTCCCAATGGTAAGTATTCACACTGCAGGATATGTATTGTATGGACTGTCAGTACAAATAGATGAATGAATGATTATATTCCAAAATTATATAAATTAGATAGCATTTACTTTACGTTCACTTTTGAACATTTTCTATGGAAATATTTCCTTACCTGTATCTATATTCTACGTATGATTTTTGTAAGGAAACTGAACTTTTAATTATGTAACTTTATTTCATTGTTTTTAATAGAGCTGCCATATAATGATTACTTTGAATATTTTGGACCCGACTTCAAACTGCATATTAGTCCTTCAAACATGACAAACCAGAATACTCCAGAATATATGGAAAAGATAAAGTAAGAAATCTTTGAATCATTTTGCTAACAATTTCATCTTGACAAAAGCTTTGGAAGAATAATTAGAGTGGATTTATTCTAATTTATACATTAGAAATTTCCTTTGTTATCTTGAAAAGGGTTTGAAACATCAGGATTACTGATTTAATTTCTTAATTTGATGGAAAGGTATGAGCTTCATAGATAAAAATATTTTCATCATTTTTTAATTGAAAAACATTTTAACATTGCAGGGGGCACTCTTAAGTTTCATTTACATTATTATCAGACACGTTTTCTCAAATCTTTATCTCCATATAGTGTTCAAGAGACATAGTAGTACACAGGTATTGGTTCCTCTTTACCAAAGACTAGCCATATGACATTAGATAGGTCCATTTGACTTTATGTTTATGTTGCCTCATCACGGAAATGGGGGATAAAACAGTATCTGACTGGTAAGTTGTGCAGATTAAATACATGCAAAGTATTGATGCTTAATGTTGGTATTATTTTAGTTAACTGGTTAAGCTAGATAAAACATGAGTATTTTTGCTTATATTTTTATTTGCATGCAAGAGGAACTTCAAAGGACTTGAATTTTGTCTAATAACAATGTGTGTAATTTAGACAGCGTTTATTTGAAAATTTGCGCATGTTACCTCATGCACCTGGTGTCCAGATGCAAGCTATTCCAGAAGATGCTGTTCATGAAGACAGTGGAGACGAAGATGGAGAAGATCCAGACAAGAGAATTTCTAGTAAGATAATGTTAAAGGTTTTTATGATACCAAAATAGCACTAAAGGGCTTGTTTCATGAACACATATTATTGACATTTTCTCCATTTTTAATCTTATATAGATTTAGCTCTTTAATATATCAAAGCCTGGTTTGGATGTCAGTAGTTTTTTTTTTTTTTTTTTAATAATACTATATGTATATAATTGCAAGGTTTCCTGTGGTTGGGGTTATATAGCTCACTGATAGAGAGTACTTGCTTAGCATATTCAGGACTATGGGTTAAAGCCCAGTCACCAAAGAAAAGTATAAGTTTCAAAAGTGAGCCACTTATTTAATTTGAGAATAATCGAAAACACCCCATTTGTTCAAAGTAGGATGAGTTAGATAACATGAAGTACCTTCTGTTTGATTTTATAGCTTCTCATTACATATAATAGGATGGATTGTTAGGTTTATAGCATAAGGGTGTGCCTAACGGTATACACAATCTAACATTTTTGTTATTATTAGAATATTTTATTTTTATCTATTTCTCAGCTCTGAAATAAGAGGGCTGCTTTTTAGGTAAAGACATTGTCCTATTTAAAAAACAGTTTCTCCAAAGTTTTGCCTTTAAAAAAAAAATGACATCCTGAAAAGTTTCTCATGTCTCTTTGAACTATATCTATATAGATCAAAGCTAACTTTTTAGTATTAAGCAAACCATTCAAAACTTAAAATTTTTAAGCATTTTTTATACTTCTAAATGTGGTGACTGTTTTGTGCATCTGTATGGGTATAATGATTGTGAATTTTTTTTGCCAGAATATATTAAAATCTTTTTTATATGTCAGTTCGAGCATCAGACAAGCGAATAGCTTGTGATGAAGAATTCTCAGATTCTGAGGATGAAGGGGAAGGAGGGCGTAGAAATGTGGCTGATCATAAGAAAGGAGCAAAGAAAGCTAGAATTGAAGAAGACAAGAAGGAAACAGAGGACAAAAAAGCAGGTCAGGTTTACTTTTTGGTAAATGTATGTTTTTAAGATTGAGCATTTTTATGAGAACATGAAATCACAACTACACAAGTATCAGATGGATGTGAAAGGTAGATAATGTTTTTTCCCCATTTAAACTGTGTTTAACTCTTAAATATCTTTTGATTAAAGCTTTTCAAATGTTGCTATTTACATTCGCTTTTATAATACAGGAGACCTTATTTCCTTCTCTTAATGACATAGGTTGAAAATAGTGAACATTGTACTATGATCTATATAAATTGAGTAAGAAGACAAAATGGTTGTAATTCCATTTGTGGTGTATAAACAGCTGAAATCCTGAGGTAATTTTTACCTACCTAATTTAATGGAAGTCAAACAAAAAGTTTCATTATCTTCAGACTAGTTTCGTCATTTTGAAAATGGTCATGTAATAGACTTTGTTCAAAAATTGAAGAAAACAAAAACTAAGGAAATATAGAAAAGGATTTGTGAACTGAACTGGGAAGAGATACTGCTTTCTGATGCTTTAACATATTTCAGAATGCTGTCAGGTAGTTGCATTTTGTAAACAAGAAGCTCTTACTATCTTTTACCTGCATTTCCAGAATATTTGTATTTTATTTAGAGACAGGGTCTCAACTGAGTCGCTTAGTACCTCAGCCTCCAGAGCCACTGGGATTACAGTTGTACACCACCACACCCAGCTAGTTGTTTTCTTTCATTGTTAGTATGTTATCTTTTTCCTTTTTTTTTAAGTGTTTGTTTGTTTATTTTATCATTTTTAAATCTTTTATCTTTTTTGTAACTTTTCTTCCAAATAAATGTACTAGGGTGCTTGTGTTTTTTATGGCTATTTTAACCAAAAATGAAAATAACATTAAATATCTTACTGGCCCAGTGGTGGATTAATCTGATAATATTCAGCTCCTTAGTACTTTTATTGCTGATTTTGATGCCTTTTTTAAAACCAGGTTGTTGGTTGATAGACTTCTCTTAGGGCTTTATAAATTGTTAAAAACCCTTCAACAAATAGAAAAAAGAAAGACTAACAGAAAATTTTTCAAACTTATGTATATTTAATGAGTTTAGGAAGAGTTGGGGAAGGTGGATAAAAGGAGGTTGGAATTGATCAGTGCATCTGTATGTGTGTATGCATAACACATTGAACCCGATTATGTGTGTTAAAAAAAAAGTAAAAGATAAAAAAAAAAGATTTATAGATCTAACCCTAGAATATAAGGTCATTCCTTTTCTTCTTCATCCCTTTTTATTACTTTTGAATTATAGTTTACATAGATAAAAGCAGAACGAATGTTATGAAAATCCATTTTGTCAACACATATATTTGTATTAAAAGTTATGGGATACCTGAGGATATTTTTCTATGTCCTTATGAGGTCATTTCATCACAACTTGGGTTTGTTTACATATTTAAAGAAAATTTTCAGCACATTTGGGATAATTTGTTTTCATAATCTGAAGTTTATAGGGTTACTACTGATACTATGTTAAAATTGTGAACTTCCAGTATTGATTTAATGAGGGTTAAAAACTAGAGGTCAGAGTAATGAGATTGACTCTGTTTCTATCTAACTTTTCCCCTGTTCTCACAGTATTCCTGCCATATTGGTCTTTAGTTTCTTCTTCCATCTTAACAGTTCCTTCTTGCCTCAAAGTCCTTGAAGTTTTTCTCTATTAAAGATACTTCTCCTTTCTTGTCCATGCAAAATCTTCATTCTTCAGGACACCTCTTAAATCTCATTTAGTAACCCTTTCTTACCTCCCATAATGCTGTATTCATGTCTGTATGCTGAACTTTTTCACAGTATCTACCCCACCTATAATACTGTGATCCCATAGAACAAAAAGTTCAAAAAGGGAAAGACCCAGTATTGCATTGACAGCTTAAACCTCCGTCATGTAGTGTATCAAACACAAAGCTTATTTAATTACTGAGTTCTTTAATATCAAGATTGCAAATGAGTTTTTTATATTTTAAAAGCATATTTTATGGCTGGGGTTGTGGCTCAGTGGCAGAGTGTTCACCTAGCACATGTGAGGCACTGGGTTCAAACCTCAGCACCACATAAAAATAAACAAAATAAAAGTATTGTGAACATGTACAACTAAAACAAAAATATATTTTTAAAGTATATTTTAAAACAAAATATATATTTTATATACTTCAATAGGTTTTAATCTTTTTCTCATCTTTGCTTTTAGATGTTAAGGAAGAAGATAAATCCAAGGACAATAGTGGTGAAAAAACAGATACCAAAGGGTAAATAATATTCCCTATCTAGTAGTTTTTATTATATCATAAAAATAAAAAACATTTGAGGGCATATGTATACTTACGAAGTACTGGACTAGAATATAAGAACATTATCAAATTGAGTGAAATAATCTAAATTTATTCTTGTACATAAATTTCTAAAGTCAGTGTTTGTGTGTAATTTATCTGAAGTAAATGATTTTTACATGCTGTAAACCTTAATATATGCACTAGTGGTTTTCTTGGTTCTCAAATTTTTGCACAGTTGTGTGTGTGTGTGTATGTATGTATGTGTGAAATAGATGAACTTAAACATTGAGCTCAAATAACAATTTATAAGTAAAAGCATAATCAAGGATTTTTGTCAGAAAGCATGTGTTATTGGTAACATAATTTTGTGCTATAAATGAAGAATAACTTTGAATAGATTGTACAGACTAAGGCATTAATTACTCTTTAGGCTTAATCAGCTGATGTGTTTGTTGACATGAACCTACAGGATCTGATCAGTATATTTCATGTTACCTCTTTCAACAGAGCCAAATCGGAACAACTCAGCAACCCTTGAATTTGAGAGTCCCCCCAATTTTAGGAAACCATTTAAAAAGTGAGAAAATACTGGGACAAAAAAAAATGTTTTCTCTGAAGACTTCTGGCTTCATTTTATACTACTTTGGCATGGACTGTATTTATTTTCAAAATGGCTTTTTGTTTTGTTTTTGTTTTTCTTGGCAAGTTTTATTGTGAGTTTTTCTAATTATGAAGCAAAATTTCTTTTCTCCACCATGCTTTATGTGATAGTATTTAAAATTGATGTGAGTTATTATGTCAAAAACTGATCTATTAAAGAAGTAATTGGCCTTTCTGAGCTGATTTTTTCCATCTTTTGTAATTATCTTTATTAAAAAATTGTACTTGGATTGCCTTTTGTCTGTTTATTAAAAATGAAAGTTTGTTTTAGTGGTGAAAGATGATTGCAGCTTTCAGGATAGCTATTTACTGCCTGGAACAGTGGTGCGACTATAAGTCCCAGTTTCTTGGGAGGCTGAAGCAGGAGGATGGCAACTTCAAAGCCAGCTTGGAAACATAGCAAGCCCCTATCTCAAAATAAAAAATAAAAGGATTAGAGATGTAGCACAGTGGTAAAGCACCCCTGGATTCAGTCCCAGTAGGGAAAAAAAAAAGATAGGTATTTAATATAAGTTTTTCTAGCTATAATAGAAATGCTAATGCTACCACTTTGTTCTTTATAGCTTAGTATCAGTGAAGATTGACATCTTGTTAGAATTTGTCTTTGAAATTCATAATACAAGCTGTATAATTAAGATATAGGAATTATCTTTGAGCTATTTCAGAGTCCCAAAAATTGGAAATAGAAATTATGAATTGAAATGAAAGACTATCTGTAATCAAAAAAGGAAACAGTAAACTTAATGTTGAGCTATATATAGTGAGTTTTAATTTATTGTGTTGTGGGTCATCTCCCTTTACTGTTTACCAAGTAGATAAACCAGAACCACTATTTCAACAAAACCTGTTTATCATTGTTGTTTAAGGTTTTGTTTTGTGTGTACTGCATTTATATGACATCAAGATTTTATTCTAACACTCAAGTTTCCAAATCAAGGAAATAAATGATTTCTCATTAGTAACTATAGTATACTCACTTTAAGATTTGGGGAATTGCTGCAACTGACCATAAAGGAAAAATACCTACAGTTTACATGACAGTGCTAGGAAGCAGACAAACGGGGTCATTTCTACTACCAAGATGTTCACAGAATAAAAACATTTTTAGAAACTTGCCAAAACTTGTAGAATCTTTTTGCCAGGTGTAGGTAACCTTTGAGATAAAAATTACAGATGCTAGAAGATAGTACAGTCAGAAATGCTTTTCTGCCAGCCATTAACTATTTCAGACATTCATAAAAGCACCTAGACTTATAATGAAACAACTGTTTTAATTTGGCCATGTTTGCAGAATTTGAAAACATCTTTAATATACAGAGACTGAGCCCTGTCTTTGCTTTATCATTTATGATTTCTTTCCCACTCTTCAGAAGTGGCCATTATTTTGAAGTTAATGAATATTGTTATCCATGTTTTTACCCCTTCACTACATATTTGTTAGGAATCTATAGACCTTATGACATTAATGACAAAGGAAAGTAGGAGCATGATATAGAACTATTGTCTCAAGAAAAGTTTCCCAAAAAATTTCAGCCAGGTTATTTAATAAAACATTAATACACGGACACCATAACAAATAATAAATATCATTTTTGAAAAAGAGACTCTATTACAATAGCAATGATTAAATGTCTACAAGTATATAAAGAAACTGTTTCAACATAAAATGCATAGTAGGAAGTCAAGATAAATACTCTAAAACATTTTTAGAAATTAATACAGTGTGAAAAGATTTAGTAAAGAGATTATTCCGTGAGTGGTGTGGGGATAATGTAGCCAAATAGGAAAAAAAAAATGACCAAAGGGGGGGGATGGTAGATGGCAAAATTGCATCTCATTTCAATTCAAAAAGCTAAAGATTATTATATAGAGAAAAAAATTTTAATGTTTGAAAGATGAAAGTTGGGAAAGAAATATAATTTCTAATATGAAAAGATCTTTAACTTTGTTTAGGAAATGCAAACTAAGAACTATGGGGATACTTTTTTTCTTGCACTTAGCTTTTAAAACCTTGTTTACAAGTTTTTTAAAAATGGCAAGAGTTTGAGAGAACTTATATGAAGAAGGTGTGTGAATTCATAGAATCTCAAGCTTAATTTGACATTCTTTATTTCAAATAATCTGATTCATAATTCCACTTCAAGAAATTTAGCATATAATGTGCAAAAAAAAAAAAGGCTTTCATTATTCATTGTGCAGCTTTAAGGTGAAAATAACCTAAATGTTTCATAGGGGACCAGTTAATGCTTATAAGATAATGAAAAGATTGTCACGATACATATTAAGTTAAAAAGAAAGGGGTGGGACATGTGATAGTAACTTCTGTGTAAAAAATACACAAAATTACTTGATTATACAAATACTGTCTAGGAAAAATAATGAAACTGAGTAGCATTGGCTGCTTTCATAGGAAGTTGAGTGCTAAGCCATTTGGATAACATACCTTTACAGTAATTTTTAATTAAAAAATGTAACCAAATGATTGCTGGTCAAAAAACTAGAGATGTATATTCTTACAGTTTCTTTTAGATGATCTCTCCAATTATCTCACAAAATTAGGGCAATTCTTGCAATTCAGAGTTGCTAGACAATGACTCTTAGTTTTGTTTCTTCCCAGGTGAAAGACTTGCATAGGCTTACCAAGGATGAAACAGGGATCCTCTGGAAGAATCATGGAGCTGGAGTAAAGTAGCTATCAACTATCACAGTTTTAAACATTGCATTTTAAAATCAAGACTCCAACTCAACTCATTTTCAGTTAATGAAGGTGTTGCTAGTTTGTTCTTAATGTTTCTTATTTTTCCAGGGCATCAGCAAAGACACTATTCAGTAGTTATATATAATAATTAATCTTTGCATTTCTACCAAAGCTGCATTCTGTTAGTAGGTGCTTTTTCAAATTCTTTTTGTCAAAGTCATTAATTTGATCTTCCAGTTTCTATGGCTTCAGTACAGAAATTTCAAAATTTCTCTGATAGCTGGTATTCATAGCATCCCTCATTCATGTCGTGATATAAATGAGAACAGGGTTTTTGAGCTTAAAATGAGAATTTTGATTTGTGTACTATCACAAGTAGTAACTTTCAATATCTTAAAATCCTTTTTCTTCATCATCTTCAAATTACTCAGTTTCTGTGCCTCAGTCACTTCGTAATTTAAGTGAGGAAGAGATCGTAGTCCCTACATCAGGTTTGTTGTAAGTACTGAGTTTCTGCATACTAATGCTTAGTAAGTGTTAGCTACTGATGTTACAAGGTAAAGGTGGATAGACGGGGCCAAAATAGTGCAGGAAGGGACATCCCAATCTTAAAATATTTCATTTTGTTATTGATTATTCATGAGTTAATAGCATTATATGGAAACAGTGCTCAGGAAGGCTACATGTTAAAAGCCGTTCAGCAGTTGTTGCATTTTCTAACCACACCACAAGATGGCAGATTCTCCATTTTTTAATTTTTTTCCATTGTTATTTGACATCTTCTCCTGTAATTGTCCATTTAACAGAGTAACATGTATTAATAGGTTCTCTTGAGTGCAATATTGGATTAGAATCTATTTGAATTAAACTACAATGTACTGATTTAGGTTTTTCTATAAGGAGGAAAATTTTAACATCAATTCTTGCACTTTAGACCAAATAATAGAATGTATCTGATAGTAACTGGTTACTCTAGTGGCTTTTCTAGTCAAAAGTAGAATGCGACTAAATATTAGAGCCAGAGCCAGAATAATGTGTGTGTGTGTGTGTGTGTGTGTGTGTGTTATTTTACTTTAATTTTTTGGTTAGAAGTGGAAGTGGAATCAGTTAATAGGAACAATGAGCAAGAAGAATTGAGATTTCTTTCTAAAAAATGTAATAATAGTGAAGGTAACATTGGGATCATTGAATTATTGTTCTACAACTTCTGTTACTGAACTTAGTACCTATTCATTTTAATCTTTGAACACTATAGAGTTGTGATTTGGGTTACTAGGTTACTAGTAATTCCTTTTTGATAAATAATGAGAAGAAACTCTTTGATTAGATTTTGTTATTTGCTCTTATTTGATAATTTAAGAATGTTTTACTCTAAACATTGACAAAATTCACATAAAGAATTTCTAAAATAAAATGAATAGATGTCTGAATAGCTAAAAATTTTCAACTACACCTATGCAGTCAGTGGAACAAAACAATAAATCGAAACTTTCCTCTTTTAGGGTTGTGAATTTGTTACTTTACTGACAATTAAGAAATGTTCAGCTTCTCTCTTACATCATCTAACAGATCATCTTCTTTGTTTCTTCAGAAATCAACATTTCAAGGTTCACTTCCAGTCATGTAGCACATACGAATAGAAATAGAAAACTTTTCAATAAAAAGGTAAGTACAGATAGGTAGTAAGGTGAAAGAGCATATCAAAACTGCTTCTAGCTGACAAACACCAACCAAAGGTCATCATATTTATGGAAAACAATAAACTAATGATTTGAGAGACAAGGAATTCTCCTTTAGCCCTTTCTTCTTTGTTTCTTTCTTAGGTTAGCAGAGTTTGATACTGTATCTCTTTTGACTAGATTCTAGGTGAGGTTACCCTTCAAGCTCCAGTGGTAAATAACAGCCCTCCAAATGTGGGGATGGGAACCTACACTTCACCAGAACTTCTCTAAGACTAGATTTCTAATTTCTCTAGAATCTAGGTATGTCCTTTTTACTCATCATCTGAATAAGAAAATTTGGGCAAGCAGATGCAAGGTATCTGCTCTAAATTTTTTTTACCTAAAATGGCCATACAGTATTTTCCAGGAAGAAAAAAAAAAAAAAATCCTTTACAATCCAAAGTCCAAACTAACTGACATCAGCTTCATTAACCAAATGTAAAGATAAAATTTTTGGTGATTTTAAAGAAGAAAATAATTATTTTCAAGCATAGTATAGTGTTCACATGTAATAGTTTTCAGTATAGTTTCTGTGCTATTCCCTTGTGATGCCGAATACCCTTTTGAAATCTATTTTGTTTGAACAATATATCTTTAAATGATAAAGTATTCCAAATTTAATTACTCTTCTACCATCCTTCTTCAAAATTAGGCAGAAAAACAAGTCTTTTCTTTCTGGCTGTTTGTCACTGTGGAGGGCAATATATCTGATTTCCCATATATGCACTCGTAAGCCCTAATAGTTACATGATGATAACATCTTAAACTTGTTTGTGCTTCTGACCTGACCTCGAAACACCATCATTACTTG